TTATTTTATTTTATTTTATTACATTATATTATATTTATGTACTTCCCATCTGGCAACCAAGGCCACTCTAGGCGGTTTACAACAACTAGTTAAGCTACCACTGAATTAATGGTAGTTACGTTACCAGTGGCTGTTGAGAACCCGGGGCCCTGCCAAAAGGAGAGAAAGAAAAGGCACAAAACAGCTTGAAGAATCAAATTCAATATTCAACATGCTGATGCATCCTGCATGCATACCTGGATGATAATAATCATAGACTTTTACAACTGCAGGCTTAAGATCTGTCACTTCAAATTCCTGTTCCACAGAGAAGCTGTAGCTTTGAACTCCGCTATCCAACTAAAGAGAAAAAAGTGGGGAAAGGTCTCATATCAATGCCAGACTTCTCACAGGGCCTATTCCTTCAGACAAAAGCTATACCTGCTCCTCCTTATTGTCAAGAAGATGGCTAGTCAGCTGGAATTATTACCCACAGAACTCTACAGACCCTGATCTGTCCCTCCAGGTCGCAGACATGAGTGAACCCGACAGACATTTCCACTGTTCTTACCTCATCCAGGTAGATGCTGATCTTATCAGGATCAAATTCCACCTTCTTTACATGGGTTTCCCTTTCCAGCTATCAGAGGATAGACCAGGATAAAGTTAAGAAATAGCTTGACTGTAGTTTTCTTCACACAACAAGCCATGAAGAACAACTAGTGATGATAAATGTACATCCACACAGCATATGATTACATATAAGTAATCTTTAAATGGACAGGTTCCACACCTCTGCTATAATAGTAGAATGATTATTATATTCAGCACTCTATACAGGTTTCTGCTTTCCTTCAACTGGACTTTTTACACACAAGTAAGACTCTGGCTCAACAAATCCAGCTTGGCAACCACCTTTCTTCTTACAAGTGTGATGGTCTCCGCACCATCACACAGGCTTTTCCAGCACTGGGAAGGTTGGTTGCTGTCACATTGTTATTCCTCTGTCCATCCAAGAAACAGTGTCTAAGGCAAAACTAAATGCTACATTTGTCACTGCATTTACATTGGGCTCCCCGCCTCCCTTCCAAACGATTAAGCATTTCTTTTTGTCACAGTGTGTGATTTTCCTATAGTTAGTATGCTTTGCTGCTGTTATTGCTCACTGGAGGAAAAACTCAAGTCTTACAAGTCTTATTGCTAAGGCAAATATGTCTGATGGAATTCCATCATGGGAGGAAAAATGGGAATCAGATGAAAAACAAATTGAGTGTAATGTCTAATTTGACCCTATATGGTGTCTCTTGACCCCATATAGCACTGGAAAGCATGGGCTGCAAGCAACAATTCTGGCAGTGCCCACCTGGACAAAAGGATGCGTAGCCAAGTGTGGTTCAAAACTTTCTTACCTCCTTCACAGACTTCTTCACAGGAATGAATCCTGAGACCATGGAAATTTCTATCAGAACCATGTTGCTTGTCTCTCGTTTACCTTTGTAACTAAAGGATGAAAAGACATTTCAGCAAGAAAGGGATTCTCAGCAAGCCCTTGTCAGGAAGCAAAATGACTGGGGCATAAGTCTTCATACACCTTCCATATGAACCTACCCGGCAGTTAAGATCTAGCCAGGGGGCCCTTTTGAAAGAGCCGTCCCTTAAGGAGGTAAGAGGGATGGTTTGTAGACAAAGGGCCTTTTCGGCAGCTGCCCCCAGACGATGGAATGCCCTCCCGACTGAGATTCGTCTGGCGCCGACACTGATGACATTTCGACACCAGGTCAAAACCCTCCTGTTCCAGAAGGCTTTTAATTGAAATAATATTAGCTGTGGGTCTGATGGCAATTTTAATTGTATTTTAATTGTATTTTAATTATTTTATCGAAAGAAAGAGAAAGAAAGAAAGAAAGAAAGAAAGAAAGAAAGAAAGAAAGAAAGAAAGAAAGAAAGAAAGAAAGAAAGAAAGAAAGAAAGAAAGAAAGAAAGAAAGAAAGTTTCACAAGCTGCCTTTTTCCAAATGCGATTCTCTGACCTCAGGATCCAAGTGAGATAAAATGCCATACCTCACTTGGAGATGGATGTCAAAATGTTTCCTGGAAGTCTGGTTGCATTCTTCAGGCGACGTCTCCACATTCAAAGCAAACATGTTAGTCATCTTGGGTGGCCAGTTGTATCGAAGGACAGCCTGGGAGAGGCCAAGAACATTGCTGTATCCAAACCATACAATACTATCAAGCAATGAGTCTACTGTATGTGGACACAAGAACATTTACCAACCTTGTAGCAAAATGGATTTCTCTTGTAGTATTATATTTTCACAAAGACTTGTATGGCAGATATAACACCCAAGCTATTCACCTGGTTCACACTGAGCAGCGTGACTTTTGGTGGCTAAAGAGTTCTGACAGGAAGGGACTGAGCAGTATTAAATCTCCTGCATTTTGGATGGTAAAGATTTCAGGCATCTCCCTTGTTGAACCTGCTCAGGTGTTAAGATCTTTAAGACTTTCTCTTGGTTCCACCACCTTCACAGGCATTGTTGGTGGGGATACAGGGGAGAGCCATTCTCTGTCGCTGCTCCCAGACTCTCGAACCCCCTCCCACAGACCAGGATGGTTCCCCATCATTGCTGTCCTTCTGCAAGCAGGCAAAGACCTTTCTCTTCAGGCATGTCTTCCCCTTAGTGACTGTATGCCTGGGACAGGTTTTTAAATGGACTGTTGAGCCATGGCTGCTTTTAAATGTGTTCTTGATCTTATTTATCGTTTTGTTATAACATTTGTTTAATTCTTTTATAATATTTGTATACTTCTTGTTTTTAGCTTTTAAATACTATATTTTAACAATGTAAGCTGCCTTGGATACTTTTTAAGGAGAAAGACGTCCTTTGTCTAATTTGGTTAAAAAGGAAGGCTTGATATTGTTGTGATGCGTAGGGTTGGTCTAAACAAGTTTTTAAAGTTCATACTACTCCAGTTTTTGAAAGAGGTGGAACTGAGGGGACAAAGAAGTCTAGCTTAGTACATGCTCTGCTTTTATAAAGGTAACAGATTTTGGAAGGAACTATATCTGTCAGGGAAGTGCTATTTGGATTTTTGCAAGCTGGGCTAGGTTCAGGCCACAGAACCTTTGAGCAAAATGTAGGTGTGTGTAGCTGTGGGTCTGTCAGGTGGACTTCAAAAAATCTGGATGGCACATCCCTAGTTCCAGTTTCTCTTCCCCCTCTAAGGAATGTGATAATCCAGAATAACAGAAAGAGTCTGGCCATTTATGTATGTCAGAACTGAGACTAAATGGAAGCAGAGGGCTGACCAGCAGTCTGCAAAAAATCTTATCTGTGTTATGGGTTGTCCTAGATCTCGCATTTTTCACAGAAATGTCCTAATTCTCTGTTGATCTCCAAAGAAAACCAAAGTCTTGCTCTGCAGCTAGGAAGAATGTCACATGATTTTACGGTTATTGTGTCTGTTTTGCTATCTTGTTGCATTACTTTTGGCTGAATATTGTGTTATATATTCTTTTGTAAGCTGCGCAGAGTACTCGCCACTAAATGGGCAGGATAGAACCACCATGAAAGAAAGAAGGAAGGAAGGAACAAAATCCATGTCTGTAGCAGCATTATAACAGAAATCTTCCTCATTGTTATGGACAGGCATTTCTGCACAAGGTGCACATTATAATGCAAATAGGGTTGATGTTTCTTTTTTGATCATAACTGTAGTCCAGACATATCTGATGGTGTCTGGCTGGACATGTGGGAGTAATGCAGTCCAGCACAAGGAACATAGTTCAGTACTGATGCGCCACAGTTATTAAAGGGAACATGGAACTAATTGTGGACTGGATCAGGGGTCTACTATAGATTTCCCCTTACTTAAGACAGTAACAGATCCTTCACTAATAGTCGCAGATGTGACTGCCTAGTTCTTTCTACTACTGGCCTTGATAATTTCCATGGAAAAAAACCCCAATGGCTAATTCTATGCTGGTGCATAAGATGAGGAGGAGTTCCCCCCCCTTCAGACTTACTCCAGCCTATACATTTCATGGCAGGTTTCCAACAGCGCTCTTGCACAGCATGACAACAGCATGCAAAAAAATGATTTTTGGTTCACTTTTTCAGTCTTGCTCAGGATTCCAGTCGCCCCATCAACCTTCCCCATTCCTTAGAAAAACTCCTTAGGGACTCCCTCCTCAAGCCCTGCTTCACAACCTATTTCCAGACCAGGTTCCTTGGTACCTTTGTGAGTTTGTTGCCTAAAGTTTCCATTAGCTCACCTGCACATAGACACAGCCATTCCCTGAGACCGCCACCTTGTATTGACCTGGGATCTCTGGAAGAGAGACCTTCTGCAGCATCAGGCGATTCTTCTTGTCCACATGGAACTCATGCTGGAAATCCTTGCTGGACTTCACCAAGACCTTTAGCTCTTCTGTTTCTCGGTAAGTCAAGCTTGCGTATTTGGCTAAAGCCTGCAAGGCAACAATTGTGTCCTGGGGACAAAAAGAGGGAGACTTGGTGTGGACATCATGTGTTGTTTAGAGACAGGAAGATAAAGCATCCTATGTAGGGAGATTTGAGCTATGGATGGGAATAATGCTCAGAAGGTCTAAAGATTTTGAACTACCTGTAGTTATATGGTCATTTCAAATTTACATTGTACCCAGTCTTGGATCAGACTCAGTGAGACTGCCATGATTTGCTTGGAGAATGGTCTTCCAGAAAGGTCACAAAGACCATCACATCATCAGGCTGAGAGGAATGAATCTGAAGCTTTCACTGTTGCATCTAATGTCGCATTTCTTACCAGTGTAAGGGGACAACCACACCCCGCCTGGACACTACCAAGCATCTCAAGGCCTGCAACAACCCCGAGCTAATTTCTGGCCAATCCT